TATGGCACATTCTTGGAACCGTGGTTCCAATTCAAAAGTACTCATAACCAATTTAAATAATCTTCCCAACTAATTTTGCAAAAGGCAACAGCTAGGAAATTAAAGTCTCAGTGATCACTCAAAAACATCACAGACCAGGAAGGGTTTCTGAAAATACCTGTCCTTCACCTCTCACAACCTGTTCCGTTCCCTTATATATGCACACATCCTCTTCCTTCACCCCATCAAACAGATCATTTATCATATTTTATAGAACTTAAACTAAGCTTGATGCCACCAGGCTATAGATGTTTCCAGGCTGGTTTTTTTAAAGTTTCACTTTTACTGCAAGACTGCTTCAGTCTCATCACACCGTTAAAAAGAAACAGAACAGTCAAATATTCAGACACTAACAAATAAACACATCCATCCCAGTGGCACATTCATTAACACCTACCTTTCCCTGCAGTCATTCTCTGCAGTGCCGGCGAGATCCCGGGGAAGGGCACTGTGCTCCGGGAGCAGCCCCACAGTACATGTCTCTCAGCAACTTAACCAGCAGCAAACTCGCCACCCTCCTACACCACTTCGCTGTGTGACCTAGCAGGCGATTGCCACCTCTCCTCCAAAATAAAAGCCTGCTCAGCATTCAGTTGAGCTCTATGTGTCCTCCTGTGCCTGCTTGCTCACAACCCTCCCTTCTACATTTCAGAGTTTAAGATCCAAGAGGCAGCAATATACTTATTTACCAAGCTGCTAGAAAGGGAGCAGAGCTCATCCTGTCCATTTATACCTTCCACAAGGATGTACTCTCACTTAATGGTGCTCACTCAAATATCAGACATTACTGCTCTCTCAGGTCCCACACAGGTGAAGGGGTATTTACTTGTTTTTTTCATGCCATAAGAATGCTGACTCAATGAAATCAATTTTCTTTTTCTTGAAAACTGAAAACCGTATTCAGAGAACAAGCCATAATGGAATTTAAATTGTGCAAGGAGGAATGAATGCAGAAAAGCACAAAGCAGCATTTAGTGGTTCGAAATCCCTCTGTGTTACCACAGAGAGTTGTCCCTCCTTCCAGTCTGCAATTCTGCTGCTTGGATGTGTGTTGACAAACAAACAATATCCCACCCCCAGATGCACGGCAATACTTGGCAAATGTGGGTGATTTTCCCTCATATAATAAATATCAAAATAGCATTCAATTACTCAACTTTATTACTAGCAAAACACAGGAATCGAAAATAGTTCTAGTTTCCATCTAACTGACTCCAAGTTCTCAACTGCCTAAACAGAATTCACTTAGCAAATAGCATATTTATCTAATACATTATCTCAAATATAGAGGTAGTTCTACTGAAAAGTAGCACTGCTCCTTCTTCATACATTTTCAGTAACTGAAATTATCACATCTTCTATTTTAGCACTATTTTAATTAACTTGCTCACTCTTAGAACACACATTCATACAGTCAGCTACCAAAACTGCATCCTCCTCTCACCTTACTCCGTGCAAGCATCCACGGGGGAGAGATCTCAACTCTAGAATTCTGACTATAAGATCTCCTGCTTTGATTCCCTTGCAGCCCAAGACCACTACCACCCCCACTGTCCCTAAATCTTGCTCTCCCAAGTCAAAATTCATCACCAATAAGAAAGTTCGATCCCCTCCCTTCCCACAGGCACACCACTGCAGTATCCCTGCACATATAAATATAGAAGTATCTCCCAAAACTGTGTGACCTATATAAAAAAAAAAAAAAAAAAGGTTTACATCAAAGAACATCATATTAAGATATCACAATGATCAGAAGCATAAAAAACAGTCCAAAACATTGTGGCTACTGAAAGCTTTGGTTTGGGTCATTGATTGCTATCAGCCTGTGTCTCTCAGCAGATCATTTATTTTATTATTAATCTGTATTGAAACTTGATTATAAAGCTTTCTGGAGTCGTGGTCCGATCCAAAGTCAACTCAAATCCACAGAAAACCTGTACACTTTATGTTAAGGTCCGTCCAGATAATACCAAGGAAATTCATGCAGCATGAATTTCTTGGAGTCTGTGTCCAATAGCCTCTCTCTCTGTATCACATCCAACTCAAGATCATCACACAGCGCCACATGAAGACAGCAGCTGACTAGCTGGCAATTATTGGTTCTTTCATGCTGAAAATGTATTTGTCCCAGGGGAATAAGGCATCTGCATAATTAGCAAAAGCAGTTACACAGAAAATAATTAGCTTGCTGAAAGCCCAAAGGGGGAAAAACTATAATTTTTGCTTCAAGAGGCTGACTAATTATATGCCAAATAACAAAACAGAGATGCATTGAGAATCATCGAGAAATCCAGCGTGGATTTTAACTTCATATTCTAGCTATAAGGGCTGCTGGTAGCCTAGCAACAAGCAGCATACTTGGGCATGCCAAAACCTCCCTCTGTCTTAATGAAACACCTCAGATTACTCTGCAAACCTCCCCCACCCCACTATGCATTTAATTCTTGTATTACTAAATGATAAAAACAAGGCCTAGCCAAAAAAAAATAAACAATTCAAGAGACACTCAAAGAAGGATTCATGGATCAAAACACAGAAAAATAAATACAAAACACAAATTGTTTTCAGAGACTTGAAATTCACAATCTGATTAGAGTTCATTTATTACATTTATTCTTTGGATTATGAAAGTGTTCTATTATTTTAAGCACCTTTTCTGGTAGTCTAAGTAAGATTTCTGTTTGTTTGTGTCTTGGGAACCATCAGATAGGAACTCTTTAACAACTTACAGCAACTCCCTTATCTCCAAAACACTCCTGATATACAAACAGTGCTGCTGAATTGCTTTCTTTTACTTGAATCCTCAGTGAACCAGTAGAGGAAACTGTTATCCCAAACTGTAGTCTCGTCTCAGAGCCAAGAGACCAGTTTTCACCATATTCCACCATTCCAGAAGCAACATTTGCTTTCCCACCTGTCCAGTTCTGCGATAAGACAGGTTGGACGACCCCTTTCAAGTCTCACTGTAATTAGCACAACTCCACTGCTCAGTTATGAGTGACCCTTCAGCCAACACCTTGTTCTTGGCTACCCACCAGAAAAGCACAGACTCACTCACCCATACAACCACTCTACCAGACTCAAAGGGTTAACAAAACTAAGAGCTATTTCCACTATTTCCTGGGAAAGGCAAATCTTTTGGATGTGCAATATTTATCCTCACCTTCCCTGGTGACTCTGACAACTGCTGAAAGTGTCACCCTTGTTCAAAAGCCGCAGAAGGTGTCAGGGACACAAGAAACCTGACAAACTTAGCTTGTCTTCAGGCCATAATAAACTTGTGACCACGGGTGAAGATAAGCCTCCTTCGCTGGCTTTACACAACCTCACCAAGGTAAACTGAAAGTTGCACAGAGCTGTTGACACATGAGATATGATGAGCATGTGTGCTGTGTTTGTGCTATGCTTGGAGGGCAAGGAAGAAACAAATCAGCCTATGGCACTACAGGAAACTGAACCCTCCCCTCAAACACACACACAAAATATATTAATAAGTAATGGTGTCAAATGAGAACTGCTTTAACTCTGCAACTACAGACTTTTTCATTGTTAGGGAAGATGAAAAGGTTCTGGTAGAGCAATAGGAGATCCTATCCTTTGCTCTCTTTGACCCCTTAACAGTCCTCCACTCTCACCATCTCCTTTTTCCCCAGGATACTTTTTGGTCTCAATGTCCACACAACAGATTCAGTGGAGGAGAAATGCTAACACATGCAGAGACTCCAAAGATTGCATCCAGCCACAGCACAAGCAAGAACAGAGAGACACCAGAGGATCAGGTTTAGCAGGGTGAGGAAGACAGGAGTACTTGTGTCTGGGAAGCACTAAAAGCCTGTCAGTGGAGTCAAGGACATGAGATGGGGATCATATGGTTTCGGGCACTCGATGTGCAAAAAAGTTAAATCTTCAAATTCACCACAACAGTGACAAAGGGGTATAAAAGAAAAAATAGTTTCCAATGAAGTCTAAAAGTAGGTGGTCTGATACACAGATGCTTTAGATGAAGCAATATGTCTTACCACAGATAGCAAGTCTGTCTCATCAAACTCCAAACAACAGCAACATACACAGTACAATGATGCATCAAATTGCCTTTTTTTTTTTTTTTTTGAAAGCCCCTTCTGTTTCACTGCCAGCAAAAAATTCTGCCTTGGCCTAGCCAAGTGGAAAGCAAAGAAGCTGAATCAGCAGTAAGCTTGTTTCAGTTGGGATTTCAGAGCAATCACCTGGAGGTTGTGAACCTTAAGAAGTTTGCTAAGGGATTAAATATTTACTTCCCCCCCTTTTAAACAAGTACAAGGACACTTGTTTCTCAACTGCACTTTTTTTACCCCATAAGTCTCATCTACCTGTACAGACAAAATTTTCCCACATTATGCAAAGGCATAATTTTAACCCATTCCATTTGAGGAACCTTAACTAGGTCTTCATTGTTCACAAACATACAAGAGAATCACATTTCTGAATAATCCAAATTATAACTTCAGGATTTACAAATAAGTTGATTTTATTATTTCCTGCAGGGATGAAGTTTACTGTATTTAAAAATGGATATGGAAAGAAGAATGGTGCCTAGAAGTGGAAAAGATATTTTTTCCAATTTAAAAGAGCAAAGACCTCTCTGCTCTCTTGGCTTCTGAGAGCATGGTGGGAATGACCAGGGACATCACCTCTCCTGCTCTTGGCCTTGCAGAGGGTGTGAGCTTGATAGGAACCCGCAGTTCTAAACTCAGGTTCTTCATCTCTGCTCTACTCAGCTGTTGGCAGAAGGATGAATTTCCTCACCAAGAATTCTCTCAAAAATCTATTCCTAAATAAGGAGTGATACCTATTAAGATTACTTTCTAACTCACAAACTTATCAATATGAAAAACAGTAATAAACACTTGTTACTGAAGTAAGCAAATTACTAGCGAAAATTGCAAAAAACACCAGAAGAAAATAGAAGTACTTCTACTCACCACCTGAACTCTGGATCATGTTTCCAGATTTTTGGACCTCATCGAATTTTGTAAAAATTACATTCAACCTGTTTGAAAGTTAAAGGAATGCACAATGAACAACTGAATTTCATTTTAAGGAATATTAGAATCATAGAATCACTAAGGCTGGAAGAGACCTCTAAGATCATCGAGTCCAACCTTTAAGCCAGCACCACCGTGTTCACTACTAAACCATGTCCTGAAGTGCCACATCCACACAGCTTTTCAACATTTCTAGGGACGGTGATTCCACCGTTTCTCTGGGCAGCTATCTTCTAACATCTCAAGATGTTATCAGGCAAATTTGGCTTCATTCAGTTCATTGGGAACATAGTTGAAAATGTCAGTGTGGAAAGAAGTTATTTTAAAATTAAAAAAAAAAGTCAACATGCAACTGATTAGAAAAACTAAGAAGCAACTGATATTACAGAGGTGTAAGAGATATAATTGGAAATACTACATTACTGAAGATGTGACATGGCTAATTGTAAATGCATTTCCAGTTCATCACTTTGCCTATCTTAACTATTTGCAGAAATACCACAAGACACACCCCTAAAAACAACTTCACACAACATTTGTCTTTGGCTCTGACACTTTTCCATTTATGTGACAGGCCTGGTGGAGCAGAAGATCCCTATCACCTCTCATTATCCCTTCCCAGACAGTTTATTACTTTGAGCCACATTATGGAAGCAGATGTTTTCAATGGAGAACAAGAAGCAACAGTGCTGCCTCCATCTGCATGCACCCCACCTCCAAAATCACCTCTTCTCCCCTCCCTCTGTGCCCTGACAAGCTGCCATCTCCTCCAGCCTCAGGTCTAACCATGCTCCACCCTGCGCACTGGAGGTAAGATGCAGAGCAGCTTTCTTAGCTGAAATGGCAGAGCAGAGTGACATGGCTTTGGTTTTGATGTAGGGTTGGCTGGGTTTTGTTTGGGTTTTTTATGGACTCTTTTTTGGTGGGTTTTTTGGTTTTGTTTATTTTGGGGGTTTTTTTAATAAAACCTTAAAACTGATTATTTTGACTGGGGTTTTTTGCATAAACACAGGCTACTTTTAAGCATCCTCTCTATAAATGCAGAACATATAGGAAAAATCTTAAGTAATTTAATCATAAATCAGTTAACTAAACACCTGTAATAATTTTAGTGGTTTTCCAGATGTGGTGACATACTTGGGCAAAGATACAGGATCCACGTTAAGTGAAACCTGAGTGTTTCTGAGATGAAGAAATATCAAACCCTGATCCCAGGAAAAGGTTCAATCACACAGCTCTCAAAGCCTTCTAAAGGCAGGAAGGAAGGTAATAAAAAGAAAGCCAAAAACGGTGAAGACTTAAGGACATTCTCAACTTACCGAGACTGTGGTAATCCTTTTTTACTGAGATCAGCCCTTACACGTTCACCAACATGTCTGTAAATTTCCACAAGGCTGTTTATTGCTGCATCTCGAACCTGAATGTGAGAGATGAGAGAAATCAATCACCTTTACAATTTAAATAACTAAATCCCTGTCCTACCTTGGAGAACTAAATTTGCATATTTCTCAGTAACAACAGTTGCCACTATACATGTTACCACAGGGTTCATGAAGGAGCTTCCAACCCTGCATTTCACATATTAGCAGTATCAGCAGGTCTAATTTAATTGAAAAGGCAGTGAAGGCATAAAATGAAAGGTTTCATACACTGGGAGCCTGGCTGCCTTTGCCAAACTCCACCCACTGTGTGCAATAGGTACATTTACTGGATGAAAAAAGGAGAGAGACACGAATAGACCTTGTATTACTTGGACATTATAAAACAAACTGAATTTTAAATCTGTTTTACAAACTTATGTTTCTATGTTGCTAACAAAACATGGAGAAAGGGAGGAGTAATCAATCACCTGAGTCACCATTAATTTTGCATGTTTTCCAAACTGATTTGCAAGAAACTGCTGAGCACATGATTCTCGCCAGACAACAGAAGAGACATAATTCTGATTAAAGTGTCACCTTTCTATACTTAACCCCTTTCCTCCACCACACACAGCAGGCAGAGAAGGTAAACTATCTGCTCTGCCTGCAGAAACACCTACAAAGCTGTGCACTTTTGCTTCTCAAAAGATGGTCTGGTAGCAACCCACACACTTGCACACCTTGTGACTAGACATGGAATATCTTGTGGACACAAGCTAGAATTGCCTATAGGTGAGATTCAAAGGGCAAGCACGTGCCCTGCTTCCTAGTCAAAAAAACCCTAAACACTTGTCTCAATCTCAATTTTATTTTTGAGAAAATAATCAGAGTTTAAATACTGTTGTCACACCAGATGCACACTGGGTTATGCAACTGCATTAGTTAAAAACAACAAAAGCACTCTTTCTGAAAAGAGCTGTAATGGAACAGCTCCCACATCCACAACAAAGGACTTGACCTGGATGTGTTTCTCTGTCCTCTCTCTCCAAGAGAGGGCAGCAGTGACCGGGCAGCAGGTCTCCCAGTGCTCAGGAGAAGGCACCAGCAGCGCAGCAGCCCAACGGGAGGCCAGGACCAGCCCCTGCGCCCGGACAGGCGCTGTTCCACCAGGAGCCACTTTGACAGCAATTGGTGTCTGATCAGTTCAGGCACGGGTTTTCTGGGGACAAGGAACGAGATCCAGCAGAAAGGGAGAGATCAGATCCATTATTTACCCCTGCAGCTGGATATGGGATAATAAGCTGTGCCAGGTACAAGGAAGAGGCAGTTCTGAGGGAAAACATCAACTTCCCAGTTCATTCAACAGCTCATCAATGGCAGGATCCAAGCCCTAAACCCAGTATCCCCTTGAAGGGTAACAGCTTGCTTAGTCTCAGCTCAGAACCTGAGGACCCTGAATATTAAACTTCCTCAGAAACTTCTAGGAGTAGTGGGTTTCTCCTCCTGCACTGGCACAAGGAGCAAGGGAAGGCTGTTTCACACTCAGTCCTCCTCTTCAGCAAGGGGTGGCCCTGACAGCCAAGGGAATATGGCCAACTCCCCAGAGTCAAGGAAAACCAATTCCCCAGTTTGACAGCCCACACCTCCTTTCAACTGAACACCCGCTCCAGACCTGGATCCCATTATGTGTCACTCATGCTGGCAGAGGAACCAACAGGGCTATTGAAAAACTGCTAGTACACATTACACAATATGGGTTTGAACCCTGCTTCCCCCCCCCTTTTCTCACTAACCTCACGTACTTCCATCTAATTTTAAGTATAGAAGGCATATAGAAGGAACAAATTTTATTCAGCTTGTATTTTTATTTGGGTTGCACTGCTGATTTAAGGTCTCTATACCGCTTGTCTTCACTCCCTGTTGAGAACACTCCTGCACAGTTTCTGGCAGCACACATGGCCAGGCTGTCCGACTGGTCCCATTTGCCCTCCCCGCCAAGACTAGTTGTTCTCTGAAGGTGAGGGGTGCTGCACCAAGCCCAGAGGGATCCTCGCAGCCTCCCCTGTATTCAAGGCTGTAAAGCACAGGAGTTCCTTTCCCACAAAGGCTTCCTGCTCTGTTCATCTTGCCTGCAGATTCATGTTGTTCAGTTGAACTCTTGGAGTAACTGATATGCTGGTTTGGACATACTTCAAATCATACCTCTTCAAAAGCAGCAAAGGGCTCTTCACGCACAGCATTGTTCAGAGCTCACCACCAGCACAATGAGCTGATTTACCAGCCAGAACACATAGCCCTGATTACCCACAAGGCAATCAGCACAACCTTTAGACATGACTCACAGCAAAAGCTTACCTGGCTGTTTGGATCTCCAAGTAAGTTACATATATGTGGCACTATCTTACTCAGTGTTAAACTCTGAGCTCCAGATCTGGGAATGAAGAACAAAAGAGCACCACTGTGAATCACAGAGCAGGCTTGTGTACACAACACCGGCTTGCAGAAGGTTCTGACTTACGCATTGAGTGTTGCAATAAGGCAGAGGCAAATCCCTTCTCTTGTCCGAAAATTCTTGTGTTTGAATCCTCCCAGCATCCTGTCCCACACGTACTGTGGAAAACAGAAGAGAGAATGAGACAGGAAAAACAGACAGTGGGGGAAGAAACAGATTCTCTCTTGCAGCAGACATACACCATGCCATCTCTGGAGCTTAAATATAAGATTTAGGCCCATCCAAGAACAACAGGACAAGAAGTAGCAAGACACTTTTAGCTCTGACTAATTCTTTGTTCTGTGCTGACTTCACAGTAACTCCCCGCTACCTAAAACAATATTCATATTTACAGAAAGCAAGTACCTTCCAAAGACCCAGAACAACAACTCTGACATCTACCCAACACATCCCATTCCTGGGAAATCCACCGACACTCACACTCCCATGTGTATGCTGTCACACAACAGCATTCTCAAGTGAAGCAAATATCTCATAACAAGGCGTAGGGAGATGAAGCCATTTCAGACAGAGTCACAGGCGAAAACCCTCTGACGGAAAAAAGTTTTCCTTTTTACACAGCCAGTCACTCACGCTGTAGAGGGCTGTCAAACATACCTGAGGGTTAGCAGCTTGTTCCATGATTTTCAGCAGCAAGGTCTGATCCTGCTCCCTCACAGAGTCCTTAGAATCTCCCAGCCTATCAAGTAAACTTGGCAGAACTGAGGAAAGAAAATAGAAACATCCAAATCCCTCAGGAAAAAGCTGACAGTGGCACAGCCTCTCTGCTCTCCCCCCACCCCATGGAGGAATCGGACCTGCTGCCCTTCAGTTGAGCCTGAAACCACCCAGAGCCTCCCGAGTGCTCTCCTGGGGAGAAACCAAGCTTTGTGTACAGCAGCCAGAGGGGATGCCAGCAGAGCACTGGGGACATTCACACACACCCTCTCACCTGTGCCAATCTGGGCCTTGAAGCGATCTTGTAAGCGGGACACTAGTGCGGAAATGATGTCAATGCCCAGGAGAACCACCTGCAGGGACAGGACAGATGGTGTTTTAGTGTGCATTACAGCTGTAATTGCTGCTCAATGCTAAAGTCATACATATACATGTCCAGTGTACACAAATCATATACATAACCCTGCAGTATTTGCTGTAATTAACATTTGTAATTAATTGCAATTATTACAATTATAGTTAGAAAACGGTGTGCACTAAGAGCTGCTTAATTATTCACCGGCAGAAATTAAACCCAACGCTTTTATAACATAACTGAAACCCAGGGAAAGACACCTTGTTTGAGAGAAGCTTCAGGACAGGCTGCAGATCAGAAAACCCACTCTGATTAACTACATTTACTAGCCACAAAAAGATACATTACATACTGAATATACTGTGTAGCCTGTATATGAAACACATGAGGATGCCCTATAGACCTTGATCGTGCTGGTATGAGACATTTCTCTCTAAGTTCCTGGAGAAGCACTGAGGTTAGTCATGCCTGGAAGTGTTAGGTACAGCCAGGATTCTGAGGTGGTGCCACCGGGGCTGTCCCAGCACAGCTCAGCTCCCTGTACATACACCTAAGTGTACATATATACACATATACATACATGTCTATGCTGTCTGTACATACATACAAATGTGCACATATACACATTTTTTTATTTTTAGATTTTAAATTTTATTTTAAGCTTTTTGCTGAGTTGGAAGGGACCCATCAGGATCATCGAGTCCAACTCCTGGCCCTGCACAAGACACCCCAAGAATCACACCACGTGCCTGACAGTGTCCAAACGCTTCCTGAACTCCTGCCAGGCTTGGTGCTGTGACCACTTCCCGAGGGAGCCTGTTCCACTGCCCAAGCACCCTGCTGGTGCTTTTCCTGATATCTAATCTAAACCTTCAAATATATAAGCCGATCTACATTCCCTGTACATACACACAAGTGTGTGTGCAATCGCACACGTACATATCCACACTCTCTGCACATACCCAGGCCGTGTGCAGGCACAGGGAGCACGGGCACACCCGCCCCGCACAGATAATGCCCATTATCCACACTCTCTGCACATACCCAGGCCGTGTGCAGGCACAGGGAGCACGGGCACACCCGCCCCGCACAGATAATGCCCATTATCCACACTCTCTGCACATACCCAGGCCGTGTGCAGGCACAGGGAGCACGGGCACACCCGCCCCGCACAGATAATGCCCATTATCCACACTCTCTGCACATACCCAGGCCGTGTGCAGGCACAGGGAGCACGGGCACACCCGCCCCGCACAGATAATGCCCATTATCCACACGCGCACCCGGGCCCGGCCCGGCCACTGCCGCGGCTGCCCAGCAGGGGGCGCGCCCCGTCCCCGCTGTCGCCGCGCGGCTGCCCCGCCCCTATGCAAATGAGCGCCCGGCTGGCGCGGAGCACTCTGGGTAAGCGCCATCGCCGCCGACAAAAGGGCTCGAACGGGGCGCGGGGCCGCCCCGAGCCGCCGCTCCCCGCGCGTCCCCGCGCGGAGCGCGCCCCCGAGCCGGCCAGCGGGAGCGAGAGGGCCGGGGGCGCGCCGCCCCTCGCCGCGACCTAGGCCGCAGTTCGCCCTCCCCTACAGGCGGCGCGCCCGCATCTGCAATTCAACCGTCCTTATCTGGGGGTTGCGCGGCTGCTCAATGAGCGTGTGGCGAGAGCAGCCCTGCTAACGCCTAAAGCAACACAGCGGCGCCCGCTCCGTGCGCGGCGCAATTTTTGGAACCTCGCACCGCGGCGAGTGCCCGGCGCGTCCCAATGACACCCGCCCCGCGGCAGGGAAAGCCCGTCCGAACCGAGCCCGACCGGGCACCCGCCGCGGCGGCGTGTGTATGGAGACTGCTGCGGTCTGACACACCCGGCTGACGCCGGCACCCCTCCCACTGCCCCCCCCCCCATCAACCACCAATGTCCCTAAGGAAGCCGCGTCCGGGACACCCGCTGTCCACACCAAACCCCTCACGTTCCACGCACGGGTCACGCTGTTTTAACTCCTGTTGGAGTCGCCACGGCTGCTCTGCATGCCAGCGGTCAGTCCACAACAACCCTCTGTCTGTCCCATGGATTCAGCTCCGGAGCAGCCACGGACTATGCGTGGTGCATACAGGAAACAGCCTACAACTCCATGTCAAGTCTGCTAAAAAAAATTTTCTAAATACAAGCCCCTTGGTACCTAACTTCTCCCAACACACGTTCTCCAAACAGCTCCTGCAGTTTTCCCCCTCGGAGTAACAGATCCTTCAACCGTGTAATTTTTTTTAATTCAACATCATTTGCAGCATGCCGACAAGATCTAGAATCTATTTGTACGCCAAAGGAGAATTTTCCTCGTGGTTCTGTTAAGCCGTGTTTCGTTTTCACATTCATCTTGCACACTGGATTTAATCTACCATTGACAAATGCTCAGCCAGCTGCCCTAAGCCCCATGGCTGCCCGCTTGTCTGCCAGCTCACCCGGAGCCTCCCGGCTGGGGTCCGGCAGCAGAGCCCCAGCAAGAGAGTGGGCTCCGGATCCTCATTAGTGGAGCGATGCTTTTAGGGAAAATCAATGGGATTCTGAGTGCCAGTCACCATTCACAGCTGTCTGATTAGAGTCCCATCACAGAAGCATCCTGCACAGAGATAAGTGTGCTGCCTGCAATTACAGAGATGTGCCCCAGGGGTAAATTCGATCCCGGGAGAGGAAGGGATCCATCTCTTCTTCAAACTGCCTGCAAGCCAGAAAGAGTGAGGGGAACTCATCGCTCAAACATGAAAGGAAACACATGCACAGTGCAAACATACCCTGCAGTTCACCCCCAGGATGAGGCTGGGAGGACAAGCTAAGCTTCCCAAGACTTTTTGCTGTTGTGCTTATAAAAACGGGGATTTATTGAGCACAATGATTACAGTGGCACTTGGACAGCTACTGAGGAAACAGACACTGGGGTGAGCAGATGTTATTCTCGACCATGCTGGACTCATTTATCAACCCCAATGTGCCACCTGCCTCAAACTCCTGAAGGTCAGAGGTAAAAAGCTGAAATCATGTAGGGATTGAGAGAGCCAGTGGATCCGCTACAGAGAGATAACAGACAACCCAGGGCATGGCTGGCAAACAAATGAATAATGAATTGAATTCCAGCCCAACTGTTGCATTGGACTGACTGCACTGAACAGCCCACCTGTTCACCACTGAAGTAGTCAGCTCTGCCTGAATTAACACACGTATGAGCAGGAGGAACCTCAGGAGAGGGGAGACTCTCAGGGCCAGAGCAGGGATGGGCCCAGTCAGCAGCCACTCCACACCCTGATCCCACAGCAGGGCCTCTCTCCAGGGAAGCCAGCTGGCCAGCACAGCTCCACACCAAGGCACAGGAAGGGCAGCTCTCCATCAAATTCCAGATAATGCTGCAGTGCTGATAACTACAGAGTTATTTCAGGCCTTTACATCAGCACAGGTCTTTTAGCCACTACTTTATACAGGCCCCCAAAAGAGCTATCTCAGAATCAGAAACACACAGTATTGTGTGCTCCGTCTGAGACTCTGCTGCTCTGCTTATTTGACTCCTGAGGTTCCCCAATATAGTCAATAATAGTCTGGGTGGCAAGTTACACCACCAAGAATTCAGATTCATTGGCATCTGCTGCTGCTTTGTCATGTCATGAAGTACTTCCTGTAGGTGCCAAGGGCTGTCAGCAAGCCCTTCTCCTGCCTCTCTCTGACTGCTAGGTCAGTAAAGAATTAGTTCCCAGGATGCCACACAGGCTTTCCCAATACAGACAATACTTTTTTTTTTTTTTTTTAAAGAGGTCAACAAAAAGTTACTTCAAAGAACTCAAAGCATCTGTTGTTTAATACCTGGGTATTACACACCTAAATATGCTCCCATAAAAGGCTAAGAAAGCTGCACAATCCAGCAGCAGCTGATCCAGCACAAAGTGACCAGAGTGAATCTCAGCCTCAGGCTACCCTGACAGCCTGCACAAACTGTGGTGGGGAGAGGCAAACCCTTTCCTCCACTCTGCATCATGCCACAAGCAGCAGAGATGTGATGGCTGCTGCACAAACCTTTATCCCATGTCTCTTACAGGGAAGCATCAATGGGCTGAGCAGCACATCCCCACGGAGTTGTTTTGCTCTGCTGGCCTCCTGCTGGACCTTCCACACCTGGCAGCTTGGGAACCAAATGGAAATGCTGGAGAGAGCTCCTACCCCAGCTTTGTCACCAGCTTGCTTCATGCTGTTTCAACATGCTCATCTCCACCACTGGTGACACAGCTTGGCCATTTCACTTTGAAGTCTCTGCCTAGGATGTTTTTCTTGGAGGAGGGAAGGGAGATGGAAGAAAAGACTTCTAAGTCTCACCATGAAGAAAAGGATTTGTAAGAGAATTCAACCAGGTTTTTTTGAACACTTGCTTAGATTGTCTCTTGGATTCATAAACAAAGACATGAAGACGCGCTTGCATACTTTAAGTATGCAAATTTAATATATTTCTGAAAACAAGAGAACGCTTCAGACTACATACTGGGAAACTTGAGGCAAGCACTGATGCCCCACATCACTGCCTGTCTGACCAGCAATAAACAGTCAGACACAGAGCAGTTCTAATTCCTCAGGACATGAAACCTCCACCACAACTGAACTGGGCACGAAAGACCGAGGAAGCACTAAAGTTAGATGACATTTGCAAATTTAGTTTTGAAGTTGAGTACATATTTTGGGTCAGCACAACAGTAACAAAACTCCTGGCAGACAGAGAAACATGAAGTTAACTTATGAAATGCTGACTGCTGTATTCCACCTGCACTCGAACATAACCACATCCACTCTGGAAGAGTCCATCTCCTTCTACCATTCCAGCAGTTAACATTTCATGTTCCAAGGCAGGGGTCACATCTGCACTGGCAGCATGAGTACATCTCCCCAGCCCAACAACCCTAGCACAGACACAGATCATGAGTTGTTCTGTACAACACAATTTGCAAAACCATCACCAGCAACAAGAAGGCAGTAACAGC